TCTTGCATCATGACAGTGAATTGCCTGTCGCTTTCATCATTTTTTAAAGCACTTCTCCACTTAGAAACCTCATTTTTGCATGAGTTTAATACATCTACAGAAATATTTACGGGCTAAACATTGTCAACATGTGGTGTTAGCTTTGATCGAATCAAAAACTCTATAAAGTGAGTAAATGAAAGCAAATATGATCGCTGGGTACCAGGGTCATAACACTTTTTAACTACATGTGACTGCCAAACTTTAGCTAAATTTTGAAGGTCAAAAAACTTAGTGTAACAGGGTTCTTGTGGTGAAACAACTTGCATCATCCTCATTATTTGTTTCATTTCATTATGTGCAGCTACACTATCTTTTTTGCCACCAGATAAACTCTTTAAATATAAATAAAATACATCGAGGTAATCTTGAAATGAGGGTTCAATCAGTACACCATCTTTGTCCGGAATACGAGAAAAAGAGTAGTTAGAACTTGGGCTTTCTTTTATATTTACGATTGGAGGATTACCTTTGCTTAAATCTGTTGATTGAGAACTTTTTTTTGAGAACTATCAAGCATTTCTCTGTACTTAGACAGATTGTTTTTGAGATAATGAGGAGACCTATATAAATGATCGTGTATTCTTTTAGTAATAACATTGCAAATAGGACATCTGTATTTTTTAATTGTTCTGGAAGATTGACTTGAAAGGTTAGCCCTTTCTTTTCTCAAATCAAACTTTCCTCTTAACTTTTTGGCCTCTTCCTTTGAAAGTCCATGCTTAGATGAACGTGCATGTCTTGGTAAATCAATTATGCTATCATTACATCCCGGAAGTGGGCATTTTACTGGCAACCTATGTGAACTATGTGAACTTGTGCTTTTATATTCATTTGAGGTGGTTTTCTTAATTTTTTTTTTGGCTTTCCATTCTTTGAATATCTAAAATTACATTAAGAATCTGCATTGAATATCTAAAAAAAAAAATTGCATTTAAATCTGAGAAAGGTTGATAAAGTTCCGATTAAAAAATAATGATAATCTTTAATTCTATAAAACTAATAACTATGAGATATTGAATATTAGCTTAGAACTAATTTTTCATTGTTATTTTATAATTGTTCTTATTATTGTTAGTATTATTATTATTATTATTAATATTATTTTTATCATTATATATTTCTATAACTTTTAATATTTAAAAATACTTTTACCTTTACTTTTACCAACTCTCATAAAACCTGTCAACATACTTCCCATTTTGGTCTCCTCATTTTCATCCATCATATTTCGACTATAAAACAATTATCTAACAGGTTAAACAAAGATAAAATATTTGCAACAAAAAAATAAAAAATAAAAAAATAAAAAAAATAAGAGAAAACACCAAAGTTACTAAAGTATTAGACAACCAATATAAAATCTGATATGGCAAGTTAAGTTTATCAAATTATTGTGGAAGACAGCAGATAAGAGTAATTCAACTTTAATAGATATATAGCAATTTATAATAGATATAAGTAATTTATTATACTCTCCTATAAATTTAAAAATTTTATTAGGAAGTATAAAGTTTGTAAAACTTAAGTGTTTTTTTTACAAGCTTATTAAGAGTAACATATGTGAAAGTAAAAGTTATAATCTGAAATTAAACAAGATATAAACCTTTCAATAGCATTGTTGCAAATTTCATTCTCTTTTGTCTAAATAAAATTAAATAAATTAAAAATAAAATTAAATAAATTAAAAAATTTGTATAGTAATTTTTGCTGATGAAATTTATGAAACATAAAAAAAAAATTACTAATTTTCTTCCAAACTTTTTATAAACTTTGGTCATATCACTAATATATTCCTAAAATTGAAAAAATATATTTCAATTTAAAGTAAACAACACTAAAATTTTAAGTAAAGAGTAAAGAAATAATTATTACATTTATTTGCAATTCGTCACTTAGCTCAGCAACATCCTCAACAACATTCTTAAAAAAATTGAATAAAAACTTAATATACATAATGTGTAACAAGATAATAAAAACGAAAATTTAAGATAAGATTTTGTGAATAAGTAATTTTGGCAATTGTTAGTACTGATATTCTTATATATTTATCAATATTGTTATCTCTCTCAATATTGCCTGAGAGGCAATTTTGAGAAAAAAGAAAAAATGCCCAATTTATTTGAATCATAACTTATCTGAACTGAATTATCAACTTTTGTAGAAATATTGACTTATTAAAAATGAAAGAAATAAAAGCAAAAACACAAAACAAAGGTTTCAGTGCAATAACTTACTTTTTCAACTTGCTCAATATGAAACTCAATGTCTTTATTTAAATCTGAACAAACCTGTAAAGCAAATTATTAACAAATTAAAAATTATACAATTCTCAGATTCATATTCTGAAAAATATTGAACATAACATTTTTTCCTTATTATGAAAAATTTATTTAATAATACTTTAAATAACAAATATCAATATATAATTGCTCTCTCTCTCTATATATATATATAAATTTAATTCTTCGCTTAGCTCAGCAACATCCTCAACGACATTCTTAAAAAAATTGAATAAAAACTTCATATACATAAAATAAAAGGATAACAAAAAGGACAATTTAAGATAAGATTTTGTGAATAAGTAATTTTGGTAATTGGTAGAACTACAAATTCTTATATAGTAGTCAATATTGTTATTTCTCTCAGTATTGACTAAGATGTAATTTTTAGAGAAAGAAAAAATGCCTGATTTACTTGACAACAAAAAAAGAAACTTTAAAAATTTTTTATTTATTTTAGCTCTAGGTGGTTTAAGGCATAAACTGTCAAAAAGAAAAATTCTATTTTATATTTTTTTAATAGGACACTAAAATTTTATCGATACTGTAATTCATTGGTTTCAAACATTTTTATTTCTAATTTACTGAGAGCTTACAAAAAAAAAAATACAATTTTACTACTATTCATTCCAACATGCTCAGCTTTAATTTCAATATTTTCCTTAAGTCATGTGGGTTTTTTTAGATCATAACTTATTCAAACTGATTAATCAACTTTTGTAGAAAAATTGACTTGGTAAAAATGTAAAAAGTAAAATTAAAAACACAAAAACTACAGTGCAACAACTAACTTTATCAACTTGTTCAACATAAAACTCAATGTCTTCATTTAAATCTGAACAAACCTGTTAAGCAAATTACCAACAAATTAAAAATTATACTATTCTAAGATTCATATTCTGGAAATTATTTAGCTTATCAAATTTTCCTAATTAGGAAAAAATTTATTTAATAATGCTTTAAATGAATATATGTATATAAATAAGCACAAACAACTAACCTTTGATAACAACGTAAATATTAAGTCTTTAATAATGATTTCCTATAAAACATTATTGATAACTGTACAAAACCAAACTTGGTTTTTGTATATAAGTTTTGTATATAAATTTTATCAAAATAACAAAAATTTATAAACCTCAGACATATCTGAATTAGTTAAAGTTTTTGGTTGAGTCTCCAACTACAATAAAACAAAAATGAAATAAAAAATAAACAAGCACCACTGGTTACCAAAATGCTATTAGTTATCAGTGCAATATAGTTTTAACACTTATAAAAATGTTTTTGAAAAAATTTATATAGAATGACGGAAACAGAAAAGAATGCAATGACCATTATATTGTCAATGTTCTCATTTAATGTAAAAAAATACAATATGGAGGTACAAAGTTCTACAAATGAAAACATACTTTTATTCTTGATGTTTGCTCAACCTTAGCAAAAAGGTAAATGATTGCCTCTGGGACAAGAACTTTAAAAACATAATCGCTATCCTAAAAAAATTATTGCCTTATATATGGCTCATAGAAAATATATTCATTGTTTTAGGATAATTCATTGTTTTAATATATTCATTGTTTTATGTTGACTAATAAAAAACTATGAAAATACGAAAGTATAAAAGCTAAATAAAAGTGCTTAGAAAAGTTAAAAAAAATTAAAAGTAAAAAAAATTGTTCACACAACAATATAAAATTATTCTTTTAGCTGTTTACCTTAACAGAGTTGAAAGATTTAGCAAGTGAAATGTACAAATCATGTTGTTGATCATCACTTAGTAAATCAATTAATTCTTAATCCCATAAACTTTCTATGATTGGATGAATAAAAAATATTATTCATAATATTAAAAAAAATAGTTATTAGTTAGAGGTGACAGATTTAATTAAATCAATATGCAGTATTTGAATATACTGAAGTAAAGTAGCGTGTAAAACATAGTATACTTTAAATGCTTCTACTTCAATTAAAAAAACCAGTGCAAGCATACTTTTTTTTTGTCCTCCAGCTTGAAAAAAATCATGTCTGTAACTGTAGACCTAATATGAAATTTATATTATTTATAAAGAACGCTTTAACTTGAATACTAAATTCATTAGGTAAAATATATTGGTTAAAAAACTAAAACCACACGTAACTGACACATTTTTGATAAATTTAATTAAATAAAAATATATGAATATTTATATTTAAACTTACAGAACTGCAATATATTGACTTAAGAAGTTGTGATGAAGCAACTTCATTTATTTTTTCGGTTGTCATTTTTTGAAAACCTAAAACCAATAAAATTTCCCTTTTATATTAAAATGCATCAATACAGTGTTAATAACTTTTATTTACATGCACTAATGTTAGACATTTAAAATGTATGTCAATGTATCATACATCATGTATGTAGAAACTTTTATAAATAGATCTAAATGTATCAATCTATCATTTTGTGAAACATGATTTGATAACATATTATCTTAAAAAACTCATCTTAATAGTATATAGACAATAACCTCAACAAAAACATATACATCTTCCAACAATATCGTCCTTTTCATCAGTGGAAGATTTAGAACAACCTTTACAAATAATTTAAATTTAAAAAAATAGTAATAGTATAAATGCAAAACAATAAGTTATTGAATAACATGACTAAAAAGTTTTCGAAGAAGAGACAATGTAATCAACTTAGGAGTGGATTAGTAAACTAGTAATTTAGTTTTTATGTTACTTTATATTGTGCTTTATCGCATACTTTTTTTAAGCTTATTAAACTAGACTAGTTATAGTTATAAACCTTACTAGTTTCTATTAAGATTTATGCCTTTTTAAAAAAATAAAAATAAATATGCACCTGCACATATCTTGCAAATAACATATCCATCACCAATCACACCTCCATGGCAATTGATGTCGATTACTTTTTTACAAAGTGGACATATTGTTCCACAGGAAGAAGCGTCACCACAGCAAATGTAACACTTAAGCATTGTTTAATTCTTTTAAATCATAAACACAGTTAAACTAGCATTCAAAAATCAAAGAGTATCAGAAACTTAAAAAATTAAGTCGTAGTTATTTTTTTTAGCTTTTTATAACATCCTTAAAGACAACTAGAAAAAAAAAAATTGTATAACTTCCTTCTTTTGAACTTTAAAATAAAAGTTTAATGGCATACAACAAGCGAAATACTTATACGGGTGCCGTTAAATGTTGCAATAACGAATTTTCCCATGTTAGTGTTACAAAAGCGAACGTCGAAGTTGCAAAAACGACTCTAGGAGTTGCCAAAACGAATCTAGTTGCAATACCGAAATTAAAAGCCTCAATAACGAACAATTTTGTTGCAATACCGTAGATCACCATGCTCATCATCATCATCATCATCATCATCATCATCATCATCATCATCATCATCATCATCATCATCATCATCATCATCATCATCATCATCATCATCATCATTATCATCATCATCATCATCATCATCATCATCATCATCATCATCATCATCATCATCATCATCATCATCATCATCATCATCATCATCATCATCATCATTATCATCATCATTATCATCAGTATATGGTTCTCTATTTATTATTGCAACAAGGTCATCGGCTCACAGGTTTTTAGATTATTGCCATGGTGCTTTTTTTCAGTACTACTAATTCGAAAGATATTTTTTAGATGTTATTTTTGAAAAAATATTTTGAGCAAATACTGTAAATATAAGAGCCGTTTTAATAAATGCATTGCATTACCAAATGCATCAAAAAAGAGGGTTTATGCATGGGGATCATAAATAATACATTCAAGTATGTTTTTTTTATTCATTTTCTTTAAATTAAGATATAAACTAAATAAATCCATATTTCAAAATTTTATTATTTAAGATAAATCTTATTTACTCTTTTTTATCCAAAAAATAAATTGATGCAAATAATAATCGTAAAGTCGAATGGAAATTATTCAGTCTCAGAGGCGTATTATAGGACTTTCAAGGTAAAAAAACCGACAATCAGTTAAAACAGGGGAAAGTTTTATTACAGAAAACTATAAAAAAACTATATATTGTACCTTTATGAAAATTTTTTTTTAGATATATATATAAAGCTTTAAATACAATATTTATAGTTAACAAATGCGTTCATTTTGAATACACAAATAATACCATTTTTGATTATTTTAGAATAAAAATTTTGTAACAATCGTCTGACATCTTTTTTTAAATCTAAGTTATAAATTTGTTAAGTATTTTTAAGCTAATTTTGACTTGACGAAAAAAAAACACACAGTAAGTTATTGTTTTAAACAACCTTCTCAGCAAAAATTTTATGGCAGAGTTATAGTAGACCTATATAGGCGTTTTGAGAGTTTTTCTCTGTTTTTCCACTGTAAAAAGGCCCATTGGTTACATAGTGGACCATTAGTGGCAGCGGCCAATTTGGCCAGCCAACAACTAGCCTTTACATTACATGTTGAAGAGTTATCGGCTAGCCACTTTTAGCGAATATCTTAAGTAACCAAGGAGCAAAACTCCAAATAACCGCTCAAAATGTTTATATATGTCCACTGTGAATCCACTATAAAATGTTTGCTGGGTTAATAAAATCATAATTGGATATCAGTTTCACAGATTGTTATAAAAACACAGTTATTCATAATTTTAAAAAGTGTTTCAGAGGCATCTATTGAGTTCATAGCCTTAAACATAAAGAATGACATTACCCTGTTTAGGAAAGTAGCGGGTTTCGATCACTGTTTTATTATTTTTTATAAAATATTTTTTACATATATCAGTTTATAAAAAATCATGATTAAAATAATTAAGGTGGTAGAGCTAGAATTAATAAGGAAATATTTTTAAAAATTGTTTTTTATTTTTGAAGAAAAATCATTTAGTTTTCATGTACTGATAAATTTTTTTTTTTGAATTGTTACTTATTTAGTTTTTAAAGCTTTTATGTAACTACATACAACAACCAGTCCTTAGTTACGCCCTTAGCAACAATTAACAGTTTTTTACCTTGATGTTTACCTTAAAAAACAACAAGATTTCTATCAAAAACTAAAAATATGCAATTGTTAAATGTCATTAACTAAAGGAACATTGTAAATTTTGGCAGTTTTTTGTAGCAACTTTAATGCTGTTTAATTTTGATTTTATCAACCTTTTTAGATTTCACCCCAAGTATTATAAATAATGAGAGCTTGAAGAAATAACCTTAAAGTATCTAATAATAAGCAAAATTTTGGATGAAAAAAGATTTTTTTAATGGAAATCATTATATGATTGCAACAGAAAAGCAGTCTCAATATTGCTCCAGTTTCAAGTTAAAAATTACTGCCACTGATAAATGGAAATCAAGTTGTAAATGGCACTGTGAATAAAGATTATTTCACACTTATCAATTTTTCAATTTTAATTGATATTTTGAAAGATGTTAGATGTCCAGATTGTTACAACCTTGTTACCATTGTTAATAACCTTTCTAAGCGCATGGGTTTTCTCCATCACCTTGAAATCAAGTGTAGTTTATGTGAATGGAAAAAAAATTTATATTCTTCTAAGCAGAGTAGTAAATTAAATAGAAATGCAGCTCCGGGTAGGAAAACATTTGAAGCAAACACAAGAATGATTTAGAGAAATAGGTAAAGGGTATCAATCTATTAAAAACTTTAGTCACTGTATGAATTTACACTGTTTGACAGCTATTCCATTTAGAAAACTAACTATAGAAATATCAAAAGGTTACGATAAAACTGCTAAAGAAAGTATGAAATGTGCCACAACTGAAATGAAAGATACTGATGATAATAGACCATACTGATGATAATAAACCAATAATGAAGCATGTTGAGATTGATGGTGCATGTCAACGGCGTGGCCATACCTCACTTAATGGATTTGTAAGTGTAATTGTGCGTGATAAGTGCGTTAATTATGAAACGATGTCAAAATTTTGCATGGGCTGTAAAATATAGAAAAATAAAAAAGCTTCACCAAGATACAATGCTTGGAAAGCTCAACATGCCTGTCATATAAATCATAAACAATGTTCTGGGTTAGCAGCTGGTGCTGTAAAAATATTTGAACGTTCAATTAAAAATAATAATATTATTTATTCTCATTATCTTGGAGACGGAGATAGCTCATCTTTTAAAAAAGTAATAAAATCTGATCCCTATAAAGACTATGAAATAACTCCTGAAAGTTAGAGTGTGGTGCACATGTACAAAAAAGAATGGGTACATGGCTACAAAATTTAATCAAAAGTTACAAAGTAACGTCGACTCCACTAGGTGGAGAAAACGGACTGACAGAAAATGTGATTAATAGTAATTTTGCATTTTATTGAACTTTGATTTTTTGCAAGATTTTGTAACTTCAAAACCAAATAACTTATAAATTAATAAATAAATTAGAAAAAATTAGAAAAATAAATAAATTAAAAAAATTCAATTTACTTGAAATTTTCACAGTATCTTCAGTATACATATAAAATTTATTTGAACTATAATCTTATAATAATTAAATGTATTTATTGCATATTATTGGTTTTTTATTCTCAATTCCATATTTTTTTTAGTGCATACATAATAAATAATGCATATTTTTTATTTTATTAAGATTCAATATTATTGTTCTTCAACAATAGATTTTTATCTATTGTTGAAGAACAAACCTTCAAAAATTCATTGTGATTTGTTAATTATACTTTGTGATAATGTGTTTTAAAATTTCCCAGTTTTTTGGCTTATTTTTTAAAATAAGTATGTGTAAACAAGGCAAATTTATAAAAAAAATTGTCCATTAATTTTTCAGAAGTTCTTGGGAAATAATAATAGTTTTTAAAAGAATTAGGTTTTTTCAAGGTGGTAGACCTTAAGTACGTATCTTATTCAAGTTAATAGATGCTTTAAATGCGAAGGAAAATTACCTGTATAATGTTCAAAGTAAACAACTATTTTTTGTCTGACAGCTATTTTCCAAAGAGAGTAATGCTTTCTGGTTGTTTATTTACCACAGATTTTTATATCGTTTATTTAAATATTTTAAAGATTTGTTCATATTCTCCATAATATCTTTATGATGTTCAGACTTGAAAGAATTTTATTAAAGAAAGTTAATTTTAAGTTCAAATAAAACTTAACCAATATTTCTTAACCCTATTCAAACTGGGTCGTGCCTTGAAGGTGCAACATAAATTTAAATGACTATAATTTTTATAGCGCTTAACCACTTTCACCTTAATTTTTTGACATTTTATAACATAATATACTATACCATTTCCAACATAAATGCGTGACTCAAGAGGTCTTACAGTGTTTTCATTGTGATCTTGTTGACGCCACCCTCCAACACAAATTTTTGAAAACTTTGCAGCAATTTTATTGATTTTAACTAAGTTTTACAAATTCTTGATAACATTTTTTTATTGCAATACTTATCCCCTTAGTTACGCTTAGATATAATAGAAAAAACTGAATACAATAAAAAATATAATGAGAAAATATAATATATAATATAAAAATAATATGAGCAAAATTTTTCATTTTTGTGAAAAAGTCTTTTAGTTTTAAAATTAGCATCTATAAACTAGATTTTGAAGATAAATCTAATAACGACAGCAACACAGAAGGCTATGAGGATATTGAGAGCAAGAGTCCAAATAGAAATCTGAAGTAATTACAAGCCTACCAAAAAAAAGTTCATTTAGTTGTTCATTTGCATGTAATATAAGCACAAGTTTTACCTTTAACAGTTTGGACAGTTTAGAGGTTACTTGGTAACTTTTATTGAATCACTCAAATCTTCTGCAGGCAGTGTTTTATCTATGACTTTGTGGCCATGAAAAAATCAGTAATGCTTAAAGTGGTTCATACCCCCACTTTTTTTCAAAAATCAAAAAATGTTTTTTTTGACTTTTTTCCATATAAAATATCATTAGAATTAAAAAAAACAAGTTGGTAAAAATTCAGTTTTGATGTAAATCTTTGAAAAAAAATGTACCATTGCAATGACTTCTTGATATTGTAACAACTGTCATATCAAGCTGGAAACCTTGCACCTTGTAATAGAGTATTACTTCTTACACCTTGATTATCAAAGTGTAAGAAGTAATATTTTAGCTAAAGAAAAAATTTAAAACTTATTTAAAATCCATACTTTAAAACAGCAATTTTTACCATGTAAAATAAAAGTTGTTTATTTGTTTTACAAATTACATTTTTACTATGTAAATAAAAATTGTTAATTTGTTTTACAATTGAATAATGTTATTTGGAATTGAATAGTGTTATTTGGAAAAAGTGCCTTAAAAGGTGTCTTTGTGTCAAAGAAAGTATTAGAATTTATGTTTTATAACTTTTAACTTTATTTTCATCCATTATCGAATTTAATGATGGATTTATTGGAATGGAATCTATTTTTGCGCAACCCAGTATAATCTTGACTTAATCATAACCCAGTATAAATTAAGTTGTATACTAGAGATTTTGAGATAAAAGTTTTATATTTATATAAAAAAAGTCTGAAAATTTGAATAGATTACAAAATATTTATGCACCTTCAACGGCCATCTCACCAAGCCCATAAAATCAAAAGAATAGTCATAGCTTTTATAGATAGGCGAAGATAGTATAAGATCTTATCTTGTATAAAGATATTTTTATAGAAAGCAAGATATCAAACTTTTTGAAAATCTTGAATTTTTTCAAATCTTAGACCAAAGAAGCAGTAATATTTTGGCAGTTTGTTTTATCATAATGATTCATTGCTTCCAAAAGTTTTAAGTTTGCAAGTAAAAAAAATTTAAAATATAAATTTGTCATCTGTCATCGTAGCACCATAATAGAGCGTTGAAGCAACATTGAAGAGGAAAAACTGAACAGATTGGTATCAGTTGATATAGTTTGCTCTGCTTTCAGGATTTCTGAGAAAAGCTCCACCAGGCTTACCAAAAAAAGATTATCTGATAGTCTTTTCTCCTTAGCAAAAAAAAAAACAAACTGAAACAAACAAAAGAAAGATTAATTAGATAAACTATAGAAGAAACTTCTACAAAATTTTCTCAAATATTGAAAAAATATATATTTTTTTGATTTGATAAGTAATATTGAATTGTGATTTGCAATTTATCAAAAATGTTACAAAATCAACATTTTTAGTAAATTTGAAAAAACCTTTCTATTTCTTAATTGTTAATGAATTGTTTTTATTAACCAATTTAAGCTGCATATTTAATGATGCAAGGCTCATGTTTGAATTTTTTAAAATGTAAGGAACATTTTTTCAATAAAATCTCAAAACTTTGTTTAAAGTAAAAAAATGCGATGGGTGGTTTTTGAAGATCACGATTGAATTGTAGCAATAACTTAAGGTGTATTTTATTTTATTCTGATTAAAATATTAAAAATTATAAACATACATAAAATTAGTTATTCTATTCTAATTTCGAATATATACATTTGGGAACTATTTTTTGAATCTAAATAACAATGTTTGAATTTAATTGTTGGAAAAGTTATAAAAACAATGCCACATTGTGTTATAAATGTTTTTTAGCCAATTTATAAAACATACAAAAAATGAGTATTATGCTTTTTTTTGAGAGAGAAAAAACCCATACTTTTTTAATCAAAAATTCAGATATTTATCTAAGCCCTTTAAAAAAAATTTGTTAAAAATATTTATGCTAGCCTTGCTTGCTTATGCTTTTTAAGTCAACATTCATATTATACTAACTCTATATAATTATTTGGTTTTAAATTTGGTTTTAGATAATAAAAAAAGATGAAGAAATTCAAAAGGTAATACAACAAATGAAACAACAAGAAATTAGTTTTAAAGAGGATGCTATTAAGCAAGTAAACGAAAAGACTGTTACTCAAGAAAAAAAAATTCAAGCTTTAATTTTGTTTCATGACACATTTTTTAAAAAACTGAAAGATTTATCAAATGAATTGCATACAATTAAGGAAGAAAAAGAAGCGATATCTGGCCAAATTGTATTTTTCATAAATTTTATTAAATCTTCTTTGATAAACGTAAAAGCAATGGTTAGTTTTTTTGTTTTACATCTATTTTAAATATTGTAATAATAAAAAGCTTTATAATATAAATGATTATTAATGGATTTAATTAACTTTAAGGAAGAAAATATAATGTCTATATATAAGTGTTCAAGTATGCTAGCTATTGGTTCTTTAGTGAGTATAAAGTTTTGTGTTTTAAGGTAACTATGTAGTAAACTTCCTCAATGTAAGCAAGACTTTACTGCAGCTAATATGTATAATTTTTTTGACCTAGAATGTGTATTTTATTTGACGCTGTGGAGGGAAAACTTATTATATGCTGGAAAACCTGACTTTAAATTTTGAAGTCAACTGAATTTCTTTTTGTTTTATAAAGATTTGTTTAAACAAAACAATTTAGTTGTTATAAACTTTACAATTTTTTTTTAGTATTTGTTTTAATTTAATTTGAAAATATTTATTTGTTACATGGTTTTAGAAACTGCAAACTCCTAAAAATATATTTGATTTCTTCTTTTTTAGAATTTAAAAATAAAATCTTTAAACAATGTTGCATATTTACATTTTTGCAACTTTATTTGCAGTTGTTAGCTATTTTTTAAAAATATCTTTAAGCAGTATGGTTATACATTCTTACAATTTTTATTAGCAGTTAACCACTGTGTGAAAATTTTTTTAAACAGCTACCTGATTTTACAGCAGAACTTATAGATAACAGAATAACAGGATCTGCTGCGAGTCTCACACTTGCAACTGACTAATTTTAAGAATAATTTAACATTTAAATAATTCAAATGATTTTAATATAGTTAATTCACCATCTTATGTTTGAAATAAACCCCAGAATTGAAGTTTGTTAAAGCGTAAGAAAGAAACTTTCCTATTCTAATGGTCTTTTAAAACATTCAACTTTTGGAACATCAATTTTCTACACCATATAAGTAATTTGCAATCACATCCAATGGAAAATTAACCAGACTTCATCTTGCTTTTTGAGAGACTAGTTTAAACTTAGCTGTTTCTTCTATAGACCTGATTGGCTTCCATTCTGATTGATTGATGTTTATAATCCTTTGTTTCGCAAAGACTCTAGTAGTCCCATGCTTAGCTGGGAGTATACTCATGTATCAATTTACATATTTGTTGCAACATCAACTTTGAGTTGACTCTTTTCGATAAGACAATCAAACAACATTTACAGAATTTAGTTATTACATTTAATAAAACATTTAACATTTTATAATATTTAGTAGAGTTTAGAATTTAGTTTGGCAAGAATATACAATTTTTATCAAGTAAGAAATTCAATCAAAATATTACTGAGGGAGAATGTATTGTTGCTTGTTTTAAGTTATTAGAAAAAAAGTTTTAAATTTATTAGAAAAAAATTATTAGAAAAGTTAATTATTAAATTATTAGAAAAATTATTATTAAAACTGTTAAAAAAATTACTATAAAATTGTTAGAAAAATTAATTATTAAAAAATTATTAGAAAAAAGTTTTAATTTTATTATAAAATGAAAAACAATGAATATCAAAGTAACTATTAATATGTTTTTACTCTTTAAGATATTATTATTAATATGTTTTTTTACTCTTTAAGGTTTTATTATTAATGCAATGGTATGATAAAATTTAAAAAAAATGAACCTTTGCACACATTTGTTTTGTTTTATTTTTTAGTAAACATTTATATGTTTTGTTGCATATTCTAATTTAAAAACTTGACAACCTGTTTTGACAATTTAAATGAATTAAATGTTTAAATTTTCTAACTACTTCTTTTTTTTTTTTAATCATCTTTGCTTCCAACAAGGCTGCAAGCAACCACTAATTAGTGTTGGAGTTACTGAAAGAGAAAAGATAAAGATTGTAGAGCAAGATAACAATTGACAGACGACTTAAAAGATTGCAAATTATATGAATCAGGAAAGCAAGATGAAGGAAGCGAATTCCAAAGAACTGATGTTCGAGGAAAAAAACTAGACGAATAAGAGTTTTTGGAGCACTTAGGAACAGTAACAGAAAATGGATGAGACTTAGTTGAATGACGAGTAAGACGAGAATGAATTTTAGTAGATGGCACAAGAAACGCTAGCTCTTTCGAGCAGTACCCATTATAGTATTTGTAGAAAAAAGAAAGAGAAGCAACATTACGACGATGTGACAGAGGTTGAAGGTTGGCTGCAAGAGCAGGTCCAACTATGTTTACAATGCGTTTTTGCACCTTGTCTAAAAGAGAAAGAGCATCATTAGAAGATCTGCCCCAGATATGACAACAGTATTCCATACAAGGCCGGATTTGAGATTTATAGAGATACAGAATAGAATCCAGAGTAAGAAAGTGACGAGCTCGATACAGAGAAGCAACTTTAGCAGATGCTAATTTTGCAACGGATTTAATATAAGGTTTCCAAGAAAGATCAGAAGTAAAAGTTAATCCTAGAAGATGAAGGGTAGGAGACTCATCAAGTACATTACCGTTCATAAATATAGAAAGGTCTAAACTATTGCGATAACGATTGGCCGAAAAAACTTGAGCTTTATCTGAATTAAAGTTCACCAACCACTGTGAGCCCCATGCTGTAGCAGAAGTGAGATCCTTTTCAAGCTCAGATGCCCCCTGCAAGCAATCAGAGGGAGTTGGCTTCTTATCGTGACAAGAATAAATGGTAGTATCATCAGCGAACAATGCCACCTTAGATGTGAGAATATCTGGAAGATCGTTAATGTAAATTAAAAAGACTATAGGGCCAAGGATTGAACCTTGGGAAACCCCTGAGGTTACAGAATAAGAAGAAGAGTGCTGTCCATCAAGGACAACCTTTATACTATGATTGGAAAGAAAGGATTCAATAATCTTAAAGATGTTACCTGATACACTGTAAGAAGAAAGCTTATGAAGAAGACCAGCATGCCAAACTTTATCAAACGCTTTAGAAATGTGAAGAACAATGGTTTTAACCTCTCCACCTTTATCTAATGCGCGATAAAACCTATCGGTTATTACTGATAGCAAATCAGCCGTAGAACGAGAAGATCGAAATCCATATTGATGATCAGAAAGTAGGTTATGAGATTCGAGATGAGAGATTAAGTGTTTGTTAATTAAAGATTCAAAAACCTTGCTTATGATAGGAAGAAGACTAATGGGGCGGTAGTTAGACCAATCGGATCGCTCTCCAGAATTTTTAAAAATAGGGATAACAGAAACTGCTTTCCAGCAGGCTGGAAAACAAAACTCTGATAAGCACTTGTTAAATAGTTTTGAACGGATTGACGACAGCTCCGGAGAACACTTCTGCAAGACTATAACAGGTATGTTGTCCGGGCCGCAAGCTGTAGAAGAGTCTAAGCAGGAAATCACTTTAGATACAGAAGCTGGAGTGATACGGATGTCGAGCAGTGGATCAACCTGTTTGACGGCTATATCAGATAGAACGCAACTAGTGGAATCAAGAGATGATATTGATGAAAAGTTTTTGGCAAACAATTCAGCTTTGTCTTTAGGTAAGGTGACAAAGTCTGAACCATACAAAAGAGGTGGAATTACAGACTTGCCCTTATTATTGATACTATTAAAGATTCTCCAGAAGTCACGAGAGCCTAATTTTTGTGATGAAATACGAGATTTCATGATCTGAGAATAGCGGGCTTTGGTGTTAGACAAAACCTTTTTACAATGGTTCCTAGCAGTAATAAACAGACGTCTGTTTTCTAGAGAATTGTTTTGCTGATAGATATGGAAGTAATGGTTTCGATCGGCAATTGCAGCAGCACAATGTGAGGAAAACCATGGAGAAGAGTGAGGCTTGACCTGGAATTGTCGAGAGGGAATAAAGGATTCCATGCCGGCCTGAATCCATGAAGTTATGTAAGAAGCACATTTGTCAACAGGAAGACGAAAGATTTCTACCCAGGGGCCATCACAAAGAAAATCACGGAAAGAGTCCCAGTCAGTTTAAAGGTAGTTGTAAGATGTACAATGATAGGGGGATTCTGATGGTAAAGAAGAATGAGATAATAGATTTAGAGAGACCAAACCATGATCAGAAGCACCTAAGGGTGAGTGTGAAGAAACTGAGCACTGACTAGGATCAGAAACAAGACATAAGTCGAGTAGAGAAGGTAAATGATTCGGGTTGTCTGGAAAGCGAGTTGGAAAGTTGACTATTTGAGTTAGAGATTAAGAAAGGCAAAAAATGGGGGTCTTAATGCCTGTGGAGTCACTGACACTAGAGCCAAGCCATTCAGTGTGATGAACATTAAAGTCACCGACAACAACAATATTGGCTGATGGATAAAGAATGAGGGCTTGGTCAATATAATCAGAAATAATATCAAGAAGAGTGCAGTCTTGAGATGAGGGAGAGCAATATAGAACAAAGAGAAAGGTGATAGAGTGAAGTGGTGCTAAACGAAAGCACATAAAAGAGTAGTCTGTGGATTCAAACCTAGTTTCCCGACAAATGAGTGAATTCTTACGAATGTAAATACCTAGGTATTTACATTCGTATGAATTCCAAGTGTGTGACTATTGGAGTCTTTAGGAATTAAAGGAAGATAACCATCAACATTAAGATCACAAGATGAGACAGCTGAACTCAAATTAATCTCACAAAGAGCAAGTAGGTCTGGTGAACTTTGCAAGAGATAAGACTCAACAGAGTTACTTCGAAGACCACAAATATTGGTGAATGATAGGTTTAGCGATCTTGGTGATGACTGTGGTTTTTTGTGTTTTATAGTTTTTGTTACTTTATTCATTTTTAATATTTTGTTAAAGAACTTGACTCGAAACATAGATAGTACTCAGTACACTGCTTTATAGCTCAAGCAATTGCCTCATTTCCATTAATAAACCCTTAGCCGTAACAAAGGGCTCCAATGTGGCCTTGGCAATGCACACCAAAAGTACAAACAGGGACACCATCCATGCGCAACATGGCACTGTTAGTACTCTGATATTTTTCAGCTGTTGATGGAATCAGCCTCTCTGAGAGCTACCACAGAGTTTGGGAAACCTGTCTACCAGCCGGACTCAGAACCATAAAACTGAGTTTTAGAGCTGTACCCTCATTTGGAGATAATAGAATGAGTTGCCTAGTCATAAAAACAGATACACAAGCAAAACCCTTGAATCGAGTCAAGAAGATCCAGCATTCAACATCCTAAACTGGAAACAATATATTAAAAATACATCTGCGCCAGCCTAATAGATGAAGAAGGGGTGCAAGGCTGGTCAACAGATAGAATATGTTTACCCCTTAAGTCTTTGCCTAGGATGCCTTCTACAAGACTGCAGCCGGATGCATTTAACATCTGCCCAAGATGAGTATTTTTTATTGAGACACCATCTCTAGCCTTTACTCAACCAAGAGCCCCAAGGCAGGGGTGTTTTATGTCAGAGTTTGCATTTGCCTAAAAAGGCATATCCTACTAGGCAGCAGGACAGATTAATTTAATATAAGTTAATATTCATTTAAATTAACAATCTTTTATTTTGAAATTATTATAAGTTATAATAGATTTAAGTTAATATTCATTTAAATTAACAATCTTTTATTTTGAAGTTATTGAACCATCTTTTAAATATGTTTTTATTTGTTTTAATTATTTCTTATATATAGTATTATATTAAAAGTTACAGTGTCTCAAAAAATTATCCGATCAAACATTTTTTTAAATATTTTAAAAAAAGTGTTGTATTTTTGCATATTTCGACTTTTTTGGTAAACTCAAGATTAATAAAAATAAAAGATGTTTTTAAATAAATTTTATTTATTTTAGTGTAAAATATGAATCGCAAAGTTTTCAGTCTTAATATAGGAATCTAAATAAATAAATAATGAATATAAAGAAACTTAAGTCGTTTTTTTATTGTCAAAAAATATTCGACCAAACATTTTTGTTCTATAATAAGTTATTAAATAACAAAACAATTATTTTAATACTTTGTAGGGTCTCCCTTTGCATGGATTACAGCTTCTCGTTGTCTAGGCATTGCTTTGACTAAAAATAAAACTTACTTAAATTTGCTGTTTCTCGTTTAGAAAAGTAGAAACAGCAACACAATCTCAAACTTGTTGATCCTGACATATAAAAAATTTTTAATAGATATTGTCATGCTAGTTCATAAGTTAGTTCATAAGCTCACTTTATGTGATATATCTGAATCATTCCTTCCTAATCACAGTAATAAAAATTACTTCCTAATCACAGTAATAAAAATTGTTAAATGTTATCTTTTTGAACATCTAAAGTGCTGATGACGCAACTACATACTATTAATCTCAGCTGGAAGAGAGAATCTTAGGAGGAAAACTAAGAGAAGGAAGACATCTTAGAGCTTGAAGTGGCTAGTGAATTTTAACTCAAATTAAACTCATTTATTTACTTATAATAGTTATCGTAACATTGTTGATATTCCTATTATGATGAATGGCAACACTCTTTCTTCCTCTAATTAAGGTTTACTTTTCATCTTATATTTCGTTTCTCATATTTTCATTCTAAAACTTATAACCTAGTTTCTCAAACTCTTTAATCAGTTTGTTACTGAGCAAGCTTATCTCAATAATGCACTTTTGTAGATTGTGGTTTTGATTTTGACACTTAAAAATTCCAAAAATTTTTTAAGTGTCAAAATGAAGATGCACACTTCAAAGTTAAAACCTGCATAAAAAATAGTCTTCTAAATTTAGGCTGGAAACATCTGCTAAGCCACTGCAAAGTCAATTATTGTTCTAACAATGGTGATGTTAAAATTATACAAATTTTTTATAAATTTGACTGTGGTAAATTGTTCTATAATAAATTATTAAAATGTTTTACTTCAGATAACAAGCCAAGATATTATGCCAAGAATTATTGAAACAAAAAAAGCAAACTATGACTTGTCTGTACCTAAGCATTCACCATCATTTTGTTACAAAAAATATTTAAAACTTTTGCATTTCAGTTTTTTTTTTAAACAAGCTAGTTTTTTAATTATTTTTACAGGAAGGCTATTACTATGTTTTTTTGTACTCTTCACTAACTTTTAATTTTAGTATTATTATTTTTATTTAAAACACAATATAGATTCTTTTAGTGCCCTTACATTGGTTTTTTTTTTTTTGTCAGATACATGATAATATATATTTATTTTATTAGTTTTTAAATGAAGTGAAAGAAACTGATAGGCGTTCTCAAATACTTGTAAAACAATATGCAAAAGAGATCGAGGTTCGCAAACACCTTCATAATCAACTCATTGAACTTAGAGGAAACATTCGTGTTTTTTGTCGTGTTCGTCCTGTTATCAAAGAAGATGGAGATAATTCTAAAAATGTGATTACATTTGATTCTGATGACAGTTCAATAATTAAAGTAGAACATAAATTAGTAAAACGCTTGTTTAAAATGGATAAAGTTTTTAATGGGTCTACATCACAAGCTGAGGTGTGTTGATTTTTTTTGGTTATTTATGCAACTAATTAAGCTATTGGTTCTCTTTTTTCTGTGGAGAAAAGACTATTACATTTGAGAAAGCCAAATTATCTGTAACTTAAAAGCTTTAAGGTTTATTTCTCTAAAAAATTATTTTTATGAATAATCTTTGCTGGATTCAAATTAACACAAAAAAATCTAATTGGAAAAAATTAATTTTTTTTTTATTTGATATCCGTTTATTTTTCAGCTTTGCAGTAAGAAGGGTAGTGTTAGTACAAATTTGTATATTTTGTACATTATTTTTTAAATGCTATTTTTTTATCATATTAAATATCATATTTATCTAATATCTCATAATATTCTTAATTGACAATTATTTAAAATAGCTACTGTTATAACTACAGCTTATATTTTGATTTAAAGCAAAAGTTGCTAATAATGTAATATGCAAGAATTTTGCAAACATGCACAATCTATAGACCTATATTGACCAAACAAGTAAAAAATAATAAAATTAAAAAAAAAAAAAAAATCAGTTAACAAAAAAAGGTTAAAAAAAAATACTAAACTTATTAGGTTCTAGGATCTTTCTAGATATGTTGCACAATGTTAATTTTTTTTTTCTTTTAATGGGTTCATTAAGGTTAATTATAATTTTAAAATGTTTTTCATACTCTATTTGAAATTTCTTATTAAAATAGTTTATTTGTGATATAAAATATAAAATAAAGCCATGCTTTGGCTAAGTTTTGCAAGTAATTGTCTTTAAACATATTTATCAGTTAAACAAGCATAACTTTAAATTTAGTAACTTAACTTTATGCTTGTTTTGATTTTATTTAGTAAATTTAGTGTAATATAAATATTACACTAAATTTACTAAATAAAATTAACTAAATTTAAGACACAAAATTTAACTTAAAAACAAAAAAGTCAAAAATTACTTACATGCAGAGATTTAAAGTATTTCAAATTCAAAAAATAAATAAATATCTCTGCTCAAGAGAGTAAATAATCTTCTACTTCAATTTTAAAGTTAAACTTAGTGTGACTCAGATGACCCCACTCTATGAATGACCCCTACTCAAAACCTCAGACAAAAATATTCTATATTTTCAAGAATGGTTAAAAAAATTAATGAACTATAATGAAAAAAAAATCACCAAAACAAAAAAAAAACAAAAAACAAATTGTGTAAAAATAACTTTAAGAAAAAACTACTTAAAAAGGTGAAAAAAGCAAACACGATTTGCAATTTGCAAATGCGGTAGTGGTGTAGTGGTAAGAGTGCTTGCTTTGTAAGCGAGAGGTTCGGAGTTCGACTCCCACCATGTCCCTGGAAGTACCGCGCTCAACTTAATTTCTCCGCGCAGCGGCCTTGCTTGTCAAGGTTCGTGTTTCGGAGTTAAAGAGTTAAGAGAGGGTTGTACCACAATTTACAACAAAAAAAAAAAAAAAAAATGAGTAGCCTCCTCGGCTGTAGTGGCCCCCTCGGGCCTTGGGGAGGTGAATAATTAAAAAAAAAAAAAAAAAAAATTCTGTGTATATATATATATATATATATATATATATATATATATATATATATATATCTACCTTCATATTGTTTATATATATTGCTACCTTTATATTGTTTTCCTGATTCATATAATTTGCAATCTTTTAATTTGTCTGTTAATTGTTATCTTGCTTTATAAACTTCATCTTTTCTTTTTCAGTAACTTCCTACTCTAATGTGGTTGCTTGCAACCTTATTGGAAGTGAAAATGTATAAAAAAAAAACTTTCTGGCCTATACTAATAAATAGATGTTTCTGTATGAACCAGAATCTATTTATTTTACCACTTGATAGATATCTCTTTAGTTTACTGTATTATATCCAGTTATTTTATATATTTTTGTATGAGTTTGTAAATATTTTTAAGTGCAGGATTTAAAGGTTATATATTTAAGTGTTTTTTTTTTTAGATATAGCGTAAATTCAAAATTATAATATAAGTAAATTATAATGTAAGCAAATTATAATTTAAGTAATTTATATATGATAAATATAATATATATATATATATATATATATATATATATATATATATATATATATATATATATATATATATATATATATATATATATATATATATATATATATATATATATATATATATATATATATATATATAATTATAATAGTAAATAGCAAATATAAATATATTTTATATTTGCTATTTACTATATTTGTTATAGCTTACTATATTTGTTATAGCTTTTGCTTTTCATTAAACCATGTTGTTCTTTTGAATGTAAATTATTTTATCAGGTGTTGCATGATCACCTGTTATTCTAACAATTTACATGATAATGAGAACTGTAGTTTCATGCTTTTTTTCCCTGTAATTTCATGATTTTAATTTGCTTCCTTTTTTAAAAGTGGCATTACATTTGCCTTCTTCTACATAACTGGTAGGATACCTGTTATAATAGATTTTTTGAACAATAAATATAATGGGTATGATATTAATGAGCTGCATTCTTTTGAAAAAATAAGGATGAACATAATCAAAACCAAACGATTTTAACTTAACAAATGCTTCAAGTCTAGTTGGAATATTATCTTGTGTTATTACAACTGTATCTAATAATAAATTTGAAGGTATATTATGCAATTTAATAATGCTTGTATCATTATCATCAACATACATAAAATGAATATATTTATTTAGTTCAGTAGCTATAAAAAATGCATCATTTATGATATCATTATTTTTATTTTCATTCAGAGCTCGAAATTGAGTTTTCAATGGTTTCTTCTCATTGATATATTTGTAAATAAATTTAGAATTTGTCTTTAATTTGCTAGTTATAGTACTTTCTAATTGTTTTATATTGTTCTTGATATCACTTTTTATTCCATTTTTTAACTTAATATATTCAGTTTTTGTTGATTTGTCACTCCAGGCATTATGTTTATTATTTTTAGTTCTTATTTTATGCTTTAATTCAAGAGCATTTGTTTTTGTTCCTTCTATTTTGATAATTAGTTCTTGGGATAAATAGTTCAGTTGCATAATTGTAATGATACAAAAATAAATCAAACATTTCACTCATAGATTTACCTTTAAATCCTTTTTCCCAGCCCACATTAATAACTTAATATTCTTTTTGATATAATTTAATATTTTCTTATCTTTGTTAAAAAACTCATTCAGATAACAACACTTTAATAATTGTGTTTTCCCCAAAGAAACTGAGTGAGTTATAGAATTAATTTTGTCTTCATTATTTGTAATAATGAGGTCTAGAATATAAGTTGATTCATAGTTTGCTTTTTGGAATGTTAGCTCACATACACACTGAAACAGAAAACGTTTTTCAAGACATTCAATAAATTTATTCTTTGAGATTCACTATCAGTTGCTGAAAAAGGACAATCATTGTCAGACCAATCTATTATGATAATAATTGCATTGTATTTGAAATCGCTGGTAATAATAAGATCACTGTATCTTTTCTGATAAATATTCGTTCTAGCAGTATTATGTAGATAGAAAAACAAAGTAATTGTGCTCATGAGATATATTTGGTGGTCTATATATGCGTCCTATTAGTATTTTTTTACTTAGTCAAGTCCATATTTGTTTATACATAAGGCAATACATAGGCAAGTCCATATTTATTTAATAAAATTATTGTTAAATGGTGATATTAGTTTTAAATAATATTAGTTTTAAACTGATTAATACATTGTTTGACATAAATACAAACAATTCCTTGATGAGTCTTTCTATTGTTTCTGAAAATATTATAATCAATTATGCATACATCTAAATCTACTTTAAAGTTTCTGTAACACAAATAACATCCAATTTATATATTTCACTTTTTAACCTTAATTCATCAATCTTATTTTCAGAGACGTTGCATTTGTGGGCCAAATCATCAGTTTATTGCATTTTTGTGTATTGCGTTCCTTGTTTATACTTAAATTACAATTCTTAAACTCATGAAAGTTTACTAATTCAATGTCTAGCAATGTCTTATCACTCAGCAACTTATTAAGGTTGTGAAATCCACCACTAAACTGATTTATTTTATTGTTTGTTTCAAAGTTGAATGTACTTTAAGTCTTTTTTAGTTTTTAATTTTTTTGTTCTTACTACCTTGTCATTTCTAATTCCAAAGTAATAGTTTGCTGTGTCAATGTTGTCATTGCTTAGTTTTTTTTTCTCTCTCAATAGCTTTGATTTGTAACATTCAGATTCAGTCAAATCAAGATTTATAAATACTTTTTTTTAACTTTTTAGCTTTTTTTAAAAAAAAATTTTGTTCCAATTTATTAGTTGAAATAAAAATATAACGAGTTTATACCCATACTTTGACTTCCATATTTTGACTTTCGTACTTTGACTTCCATATTTTAATTTCCATACTTTCACTTTAATTTAATAACATTTTTGATTTTGACATTGACGTTCAACTTGTGATTGTCTTGCTATTTTGTTTTTTTTTCTTCGATTTCTTTGACTTTATCACTTAACGCTAATTCTTCTAAACCAAAAATGACCAAATTATTTTCTCTCCTATCTCTTTCTTTGGTTTCATTTGCAATAGTATTAATAATTTACATTTGATCTGGAGTCTTTTTTACTTTACCAGTCCAATCACCTGTCACTGCTGGATTAGACTTTGATTTAGAATTTTCTAAATCAAGAACATACTTAGTCAAGCTTCAATTATTCGTTGTTAAAGTTTCCATTAAATTTTTTGAATCTTTGATTATCGCTTTTTGCTCACACTTGTAAGTATTGAAATCGCCTAGTTGCAAATTAATCATTTGGATTACTGGATAGGAGCGGTACCACCCTAAATAACAGTTTTTTTAAATTAAAGTGTTATTTAGGGTGGGTACCCCTCCATTACCTCCTGTCAATGAAATTATATTGTTCTTATTATCATAATAATTATTACACACAAACATTATGTTTGTGTGTAATAATTATTATGATAATAAG